ATCGTTCACTGATTTTGAAGCTTAGTGCCAAAACGAAGAAAATAGGCGTTCTTGACACCAGCTTCTTCTGCTTCATCAAGGTACCGGAGCAGCGCAAGCACTTCAAAATCAGTGTACGATCATAAACGCCGTCTTTCGGCATGACGTAAGATAGGTTTAAGCGAATCAGAGCTAGAAATCTCCTCAATATTCAGTCTTTTAATCATGGACCATGAGTGTCAATGTACATACACGAGAGCCTAGATTTCCGGGTTCTTTGACTGATTCGGACACCAATTTCCTTCATAAAATTTTAAAAAATGAAGATTTCAGCGCTAATAAGTTCCTCTTACGATGTGTCATATACGCCAAATCTTGTGGACATCACGTGGGAGGGGGGTGTGGGGTTGGTTGCTGTACAATCGGGTGTTCTTATCCTACAAAGCGTGTACTAAGACATTTAACCGATCCCAGAGCGATGGAAATTAGTGGGCCAAGCAGAAGTAAATCAAAAAAGAGAAGACAGTTTGAAAAACTGACGGGCGGAAAGATGTGAATTTGAACTGCAAAGCGACGGAACATCACACTTTCATAATTGTTTCAGACAGAATAAGGCTGACCAACCTGTAGCTGCCGTAAATCCTCTGTAGCAGGATCGGGAATGTCGAAGAATCGCGGTAACACGAAAGATCGCAGGAATCGGTAGCCAGCGTATGATACACACCCGATAACTGCCATTGATTGTGCAAATGAGACGAACCTGATATCATAAGACTTGAAATCTCCTGCGCTTCAGGCAGCGCTGAACAATGATGCTCAACCAAGTATCATACCTGTTTGGTTGAGCCTGTGGGGCACCAGCTGGTGAAAAGTATGCGACATTTCCACTATGAACACCCACCTCAGTAGGAGGAATGGACGCTCGTGCCTCTTCTATTTCAGACTCCGTGACACCTGAGATTATACAGCACAATACTTCGATAAAACATGCGAGGGAAATCCCATTTTCAAAGAATCTCAAAAACCTTTTCCAAGAAGAAACATCCGCTGTTCCTCGAACGGCGTATCTCGGACCTTCGGTGTGAGCATGAACTTCTTTGCGGCCTCCACCATTTCAGGACGATTGGCGCTTTGCTCTCCCATCTAAATAACAAAAAAGAGGATGGTGGATTCAGCTGAATAGAAATAGAAATGTTTTCAACGTCGCAACCACCGCCGTACGCAACAGAGACCTACCCTACGAATACCGAAGAGTGACGGCTCCCAAGCAAGAGAGCATCCTTGTAAAGATTAAGATTAATCAACCTAATTACCATCAATTTTCTATGCGCGTTGTGTTTTTTCCTCGAAACCAGCGCCAAGAATTCAACATAGCTCTACTAGGCTTACGTTTAGCCCTGGCCAACCCGTGCCTTTTGAAAGTGCGGCTGTTCTGCGCTTTTGACCACCGCTACAAGTGAGACAAATGGAAGTATAGTAATATTCCAGCTTCGAGGTATATAGCCAATATATACCAAAGAATCAGTAGCTCCTACATAGGAAAAAGTAGAAGCAGGGAAACAGAACAGAATAGCTTAGACTCAAGAAAGAAATCAGTAGACAGGCTTCAGATGCGGTTTTAGTCTTCTATCCCGACCGTTAATCAGAGCCGGACACCGTTCAGAATTAACCTCTACGACGACCGTTCGAGACGGAAAACCTATTCTTTTTTAACTCATGCAACACCTTACCAACCATACTCAACCCTACCTACAAACTGTCAATACACTAGGTACATCTCAATCTTGTATGCCATAGTCGTGCTACTTACTACGTATCTTAAATCTTTAAACTTGCGTGGGCGTCTTTTGCGAATATTTTCATTTGCACACCAACCTGTGTCATTTCCTCTGCTCCAACATGACAATATACATTATCTCAAACTGAAATTACACCCCCAGCAAACCCTTTACATGTTCAAATGCCACCCCTCAGCGTGTAAAACCTAAAACATCCAAAAGCAATATAATAAAGCCAAACAAAATTAAAATATTTTTTTCAAGACAAGATTAACTCGGTATACTCGTGTTCAAAGGTAAAGACCAAGCAGGACTTCCCGTTGCCACTGCTATCCTACAAAGTGGCTTCTCATTCATCAGACCAGTAATCCTAAGAATATTTTCTTTTACTCTTCCCATCATTATCTGATATGAGCGTGCAATGGTTGACAAAACTATCCCAAGTTTGGACAGCACCATGTTATGAAGACATCATTAACTAAATTATTAGAAATCACTCAAGCGTACACCACCGGCTGGATATTGCCGCAATGAAATTACCATAGGCATCATTTCATCTTCGGCATGCACTTTCTGCTATTTTTTAGAATCACCACCCTCTGCTTGACAGTCGACTGAAAGTTCTAATACCGATTGTTTCTGCCCTACTATGGCTCTACTAGAAATTGAAGACATCTGAATAGTCGTTTACAATACCCGAGCTGTCTTCTTAACCCACATATTGAAAGCCCATGAGAGATGCCAGAATGAAGGCGGGAGAGAGATTCGAGTATTTCTAGAGCAGAAGAAAGTCTTATACTATTTTTCCGCCCTGTGATTGAAGGGGGGGGGTGGCAGCAGTATGAGATGAGCCGGGCTGTCCAAACCCTCTATGCTATTCGGTGAAGCGCGTATACGTTAATAATTGGTTGAACAAACGACTATACAAAACAATATCATTCTCTTGCACTCATCTCTAAAACTGTGGAGTACCGGCTTGCACCTGCACATTCATCCCCTTGACCGCCCTCATCCGAAGCGAGACTATACTCTAAATAGTAAAAATGCACATACGTCTGCAAATTGTAACCCATGAATGTATTCTATATTAGAAGGAGTCAACTATATGGCAAGCAACCTAGTCACAAGCCTGCCTTCTTCTCAACGCACCCAGTTACTACGCTAAAAACCATCATAGATTAATTAGAAAAACACATTACTTCAAGGGTTGTTGTGCAATGTGAATTTGGTACATTGGAAAAGTTATCAACAATAGAGGACACGGAAAAGCATTTGAGAGCAATCCTTAAATAAGGTCCCAGATGGACGAGCACTCGAAGGAAGTAAGAGAATGCTGCGCCGGTGAGGGACTAGACAGAGGGTGAGAGAACAGGAAGACGAGAGACAATAGTTCGGTCCTAGATGAATGACCATAACGTGTCACGTTTTTGTTCAGGAGCCCAGGTGGGTGAGGAATGGGCCTCTAACGTACCTTCACTGAGCCTTTGCGGCTGGCGCTTCTTCAGCTTGTGATGACCCCCTGCCCTGCTCATTCACAGTGAACATGTAAGAAAAAGAAATTGAAATGGATAGGAGAAGTACAACAAAAGACCAGCAGTTTGTTGCGTACATGATTTCAGACATTCTTATTTCGTCCGGATTATGTAAGAGATTGTACCCAACCACGAAAAGTACCTTAACAGAACAAAAGAACTCACTATGGCTATAATCAACTAGTCAGAACACGCATGCACACTTGTCCTAAATGATTGAAATCTTTACATCACAAATCTCTGTAAAAATATCACAAATTTTTTGGAAACAGAGAAAAAACCAAGGAACACGCGTGCCAATGCAAACGTTTCAAGTAAAAGTCCCTTCAATTCTGCAGATGTTTATCAGTACAAAGGCAAGCTTTCATGGTACAATCTAAAATATAATAAATTAACCCGATAAAACAAACTTTCCACATGAGGATAACAAAGCGTAAGTTGTCGTCATGTAAGAGGAATTTCAGCGAGAGAATCTAACGCCTCTGTTAGTATCATTTTAAGAAACCATGAAGCCTAATTATAACACGGCAGACTCTTAGACTGTAAAGTGAACATAAAACTGGCTGTGTAGAATCAGTCCGATAGATCACAAAAAGAGAAAGTTCATCTTGAAAAACTTCATCTATGAAACTTGTGAAAAAATGTCAAAATTTCAAGGCTTATTCATGATACTTCGCAGTATATCCAAATTCTTCACGAGAGCCTGGCTGAATTCCTTGGCGTCTCGGTGTTTCTAAAAGAAAGAAAAATCAAAATGCAGCCCAATAATCGATAAGCGTCGCAAATATGGTATGCTGGAAATGGCTGGAGTACCTTTTGACTAGAGATAACGGCACCTAGCCGAGATGATGATACGTTGTACCCGATACCGAAACCGTCCTCTACCACGGGGCCGAATCCTGAAGCAATTGATAAGAAACGCTGCAACGGGCAAACATTGCGGAAAGATTGCACTGAGAATTGGGTACCTCCAAACACAATGGTGTTGGTGGAAAGAGTACTAGTTGAGAGCACAAAGTGTCCCATACGGAGAAATCCCTGATCCTGAAAGAAAAAAAAATTTCAAAGGGTAAAAAGTTGAATGAGGAATTTTTCCAAACAGAACGTATTGCGCAAACCTCGAACAAAGACGGGGTCTTCATGCCTATACGCTCAGCGCTGATTTTCAGTCCTAAGAAGTGGCGATCAAATGCCTGCCCTGAAAATAAAAGCCATTAAAGGTAAAGGATGAGAGGATGGAGTCTCTTCCGTTGATCGACTTTTTTTTGGTATGCGGCACACATTCTACTTTCACGCAAAATGGTAGTTCCCCGTAGGGTAGAAGCTTGATAGTATGAGCGGAGCCGATTCGAGATTTGACCCTTGGACCACGCGCGGTGAGCATGTCACTTACCACTGTGCCACCTCCGCCTCAAAAAAGCAACTGATGCGGAAAAATGAAATAAAATCAAGGAAATATGATAGATTCATTTGAAAGGAAGTAGTGCACCCCCCTATGATCCCGATGCCCCAGTTTTACACCTAACGGCTGTACCCCTTGCGTCTTCTTTTACACACAAATTAAAAAAAATTTCGTGCACCGGCGGATACCTCATATCGGACACTCGGGAAATAGCCGATTCGAGGGTCTTCTCCATATTGCACATTCATAAGATGGTTTTGCGACTCAGATTATTACCATCGTAAAAAGGATTCCCTGAACATGGTCAAAGGAGAGGGGGAGGGGTGGGTATTTGGAGGACTCCTTGTGGAAAAGTGGAGTTGCCGTGATGGGAAAAGGCCTTTTTCTATAACGGAATCGGTTCACCTAGCCCTGAGTTCCTTGGCTGCTACGCCGGGGCGAGTTTTTTCCCCGTAGGTCAAACTATGCATTGTGGAGGGCTCATGAATGGTCCTCCTCATTCCTCATCACCGCAGCAGATTTGAGTCGATTTTCGCTACAATCTAACGCAAATGCTATCTATTTGAGGGGCCTTAATAAGGTCAAGATAAAATCAAAGTACTCCTGAGCCGAGAAGTTTCAGTACACTCTAGCTACTGGACAATATTCGAAAGCTTACCCATCGATGCTTCCTTTACCAGCTGCCCATGTGTGTTCGAGACAATTCACCAGTTGCTTAGCATCTTTGGCGTCCCCCTCGAGAATGGCCAGAGTGGCCTCTTTGGTGGCAGCTGTTGCAGAGCTAAAAGCAGAGGAATTATGAATAAGGTTTTCGGTACTATAATGAGTAAAAGTCTAGGAGCGACATGATCTTCCTGTGAGTGGGGAAACTGAGCAGAAGCACTAGCAGCTTGAACAATCAACGTAATCAGCACTTTAGAACACGAGACGGACCAGGACTTTATGAATAAAAATAAAAGTATAACAGTAAACACTTTAGATAAAAGAGAGGCTCTATAAACCATGCTCGTAATCAGCAGGACTGAAACGGCGGTGTTTGTACGACCCGCCCTGGAGCAGGCAGGCAGGACGGTCATACAGTTGGGATAAATTTGACAAGGTATGAGCCTCTCAAAATTTCCCTCTCTGGTATGACTCCTTCAAATCCCCAACCCCCCCCCCCTTCTCCTCCTCCCAACCTACATTACACCGTTCTCAATGAATCTCCCCAATTTCCTACCCAATTTCTGGAGCTATTCCAAGTATTCCTCTCTTTCCAAAGGAAACCCTTCACAGGGGATCCTTAACATATGACGCCTGTCCTAAAGGGAGGGTCTCACAAGGGAATGGTTTGAACTTCCCATGGAACTTTGAATGGAGACCTAGGTACATCGATAGAGCCTCGAATGCTGATTACGAATATGCAGATTAAAAGTGCTACGGGGACCTCCCAGACGAGATCTGGGTGGTCAAAGTGCGAAAAGCCAGTTTTGCCTCGCAAGCGCTGCCGATCGAATGTCTCGGCAGTCCACCCTGATGGCCTCCGTGTACAGCGTACAGCTCCGTTGTATCAAACCCTATGTGGGGGTCTACTTTTGCTCTGGGGAGGGGGGGTCTTGTTTGTTAAGACAACATTATTATCATTTGAATAGTTGTTTTATTCTTGTGTAAAAAGGTCGCTATTATTTTTGTTTATATCACCTCTCACTATAATGCATTACTACCCGGTGGGATACTTTGATTACTTATTGTATCCCCCCCCCCCCCCCCCCTCCCACCAACTTTTCCCGGCCGATATATACTCATTGCTCGTGAGCGTCGACGAAAGAAAGCCTGGAGGGAGGAGGCGTCGTACCAGGATACTTTTCCGGGGGGGTCGTACCAAACCAAATTCCGCACATCCGCAAGTGCCGTACCCTGCTCGTGTTAATGGTCACGCTTTCAATTCAAAACGCCTGCGGTTGCAAATCCGAATGGCTGTAAATTTTTGCTTTCGCTTGCCTTAAGAGCTTTAACTCTAATTACGGCCACAGCAGGGCAATCGATACAAATACATAAAATGACGTCTCCTGTGATTTGCCATATCTGCCCCTCTCTGAAAAAGGTTACCCATAATCCGCAAATCAAAGTTATTAAGCGAGAAACTCGTTTCATGGAGATTTCGACTCCCTGAACACGCAATACACATCCTCAACGAAGAATTGCTTCGTCTGGCTAAATTGCGATTCTGGGCAAAACTTTGACTTGTCGAATGGGTAATAGGTTCAGAGAGGGCAGATTGACCAAATTCATATCAGATTATCGAGTACGTCGTATACTTGATGATACTAGATCTACTGCCTCTGCTAGCGCTAACTTGATCTACACTTGCCTCTGCTAGACCTGTAAATGAAATTTACCGAAATCAGAGCTCGGAGCCATAGGGAGCGAAGATAATAATTTTCCGCGCCAACCGGATGCAAACCGTATGCGTTTGACTTGAACAACGAGACCATACCAGAGCCACGAAGCCAGTGCCGAAGCATCGATCAGCAGCGCTTACGAGCCAAAACTGGCTTCGCAAACTTTGACCGCCCACATCTTGTCTGGGAGGTCCCCGTAGTAATTTTATAGATATATTCAGTATCAGCATTCAGTCTCTACCTGTACCTAGTCCAATTCAAAAAGTTCCATGGGAAGTTGAAGCATGACTTGACAGTGCAAACCCATTCACGAGCTACGCCACGACTACCTCGCGCTCCGAAATATACTACAAAGAAAAATTTCAAAATTTCGCGCTGACCAGGGCGGCGTGGACACCTTCGCAGTCTCCGTTTTTTCGGATTTTCTCCGTCAGCATCGTTTTTGGTCAGCAAATCTTCGCTTTGGAGACACCAGATCAACTTCAGATCAGAGGAAGGCTGCTCAAATGTAAGAAGAACGCTGTACTGACTTCAGGAAATGAGTCGAAACGCTGTATGTCCACCACTGAAGCGAAACATTCGGAAACAGAAAAAAATCGTAAGGGGAACGCCCGTCAACAATGTGTTGTAACAAGACAAATCACATGTCGTGTTGCTGACATCGCTAGGCGTGTCAAAAACAATCAAACATGATTCTATCAGTCACATAATCTCACGTTTACATCGGATTATATCCTCACCACAAAAAGAGTCTTTGACACCCCAGAAACACTTATAACGTAGACACAGCCCTTGACGCGCGACTGGTATAGAACGGGATCGCAATTTTCGAGTCCACGAGACAGATTTAGATAGGTAATACAAACAATGATCAACAGGACATAAAGCGATGAAAGAGCCACCACAACACTTCCTTCAAAATTTGTGGAGGCTTTCAAGTAGCGAGTGAACACAACATAATCTGCGGCAGAAGTCTGAGGGTAAGTCAGTATTTGATCTCTTAAGAAGAGCTGAAACCACAAACCGACACAGAGATATGAAAGATTAAGGACTCCAGACGGATTCCGCGATTCGAACCCGATACCTCGCCGTGTGTAAAGCCGACACATGCTGCTGTAACAGCAAAGCCAAAGGAAAGAAATAAACAAGAAAAATTATCGTACATCAAATCGTATCTGAGAGTTGCGTTTGAGTGCGTTATGCCGGGTCTAGCACAGCTGAGCGCACGGGCCCCAGCCGCTTTTTAGCGTTACGTTTTAAGCAACCAGTAAAGCCATAAGTTATCGTAAGCGTTTGAGCATTACACTAGGTATTCCAGGTGCACGCTTTGGTCGACGACTGAACGCTGACACAGATGAACGCCCTGAGCATTAACCTGTTAAATCAGAGTACCTATGAGAACAAAAAAAAGAGAAACAAAATAAAAAGTAAGGACTCGGGATGGAACTAACCGCATGCAATCCGTTCGTCCTTTGAGGAAAGCTGCTGTAGAGCAAGATTCATACGTAGGAACCATTTCCTTGTAGATCGAATAGAATGCCATCTAAAGGACACAGTTTCTGAATGATGTCCTTTAGTGATCAAGTGTGACTTGCTTTTACCTGAATCGCTAATTGCATAATGGAATCCGGAGACATTTTCGATTTCTTGATGGTATCCTTCGTCATGTCACAGTACTCCATCGTGGCAAAGTCAAGACTGCTGTTTCGTGTCACATGGGCCTTTTGCGCCTCGCTGATTCGTGATCTCAGCGAATCAGTGAGGTTGAACTCTGAAAATCATCCACTATATATAACCTTGGCTTTTATTGTTTGCTGTTGTTTGTGTTTGTCCGGAAGATGCGGTTCGACCGAAGAAGAAACTCTGAGAGGCCGAGTCAAGATGGGGTTGGGTAGGGCATGGGATAAGATATAAGGAATACACACGATCTATGCCAAGCCCCACCACAGTGGGTGGAGCATGCGCCAAAAGTTGGCGGTACCTGCAAACAAAAATTGTTAATCGCCTTCAGCATACCTAGAGCTGGGAAAAGTGAAATGGGTTAGCAGGGATTGTCAGACTAAATTTTTATGGAAGACATACTCGAATGGCGGAGCGTTACTCCGAAATGAGCGATGCTTCTCACATAAAATTCAGAAACGCTTCGAGAGTGTTTAGAGATCGCTATAAAAATGCACTTGCAGAAGAGCAATATCTGGGCGCTCTGAATGGTGAGAACCCGCCGCGATGGGCGGAGCTTGCCCTCAATCGCGGGATATTCATCTCAAAAGTTTGTAGCTCGGTTCCAGAACACTCCAGAGACCGGAAAAACGAGGATTAAGGTCAGCGAGGGCTGGCCGATTGAGAAGTGTGGGGCACACATGTTGTGGGCGGGGCCTGCTCCGAGGTGGGCGGAGCCAGACAAAAAAATCTGTAAAACGGTTCTGGAGCACTCCGGACACCAGAAAAAAGTGGGCCAGGGTCAGCGATGGCTGGCCGATTGAAAAGTGTGGGCACACATGTTGTGGGCGGGACCTGCGCCGAGTGGGCGGAGCCAGACGAAAAAAAATCTGTAAAACTGTTCTAGCGAAGCTACATGCAGTCAACAGAAGAGGTGAACCGTTTTAGAAAGAAAGTCCTCATGAAAGTTGATTATAGCAGCACACGTAGAACCAGTTTCTTCTCTAGCTATGTTAGCAAATTATACAAATCCTCGCTCGAGTACCAATAGAGAAACTCACCTATCTCTTTCACCATGGAAGGATCCGCAGGCTGTGGCACTGTGTCAGGTGTAACGAAGTGATGGGTGTTGGTGTCCCTGAACCAAAAAGTAATTATTGTCGGAAAAAATGAGCTTCAAGCAATTCGAGCGAGGATCAAGGAAAACTCTGACTTGTATGACTCCTCCATCAGTCGAAGAACTGCTACTCCATCACCCCAAGAGTGTTCAAAATTTATCGTGGCTTGACCGTTTCCTGAAGCATCTACTTTGCAGGAAACAACGTAGCTCTGCGGTGTAAGTATCGAGTCATTTTTTTGCACTAATTAATCACCATTATTGAGCTAAGTTAGGGATTCGTATAGCTAGCAAGGTCCTTAAAGGCAAACTGCACACTCAACCACGAGTACTGTCCTTTCCATGCGCGAGGGGAACGGCTCGCAGCTGCGGTAGCATGCCACTTCGTAGGCACAAAAATAGGGAACGGGGCTGAAGGGTAATGATACCGGGTGCAGCACTTGCGTCGATACAAAGCAAAACACGATGCAGAACAGCTAAAAAGAGAGGTCGCAGACAAGTAGCGTGCCTGGCGTGATTGGGCGTATGGCTGGCCGTGCGGTCGAGTCGGACTATGGAGACTGCACCCGGAATCACTACCCTCCAGGCTGCCCCGTGCACTTTTGGCCGGACAGAGTGGCGCACTACTGCAGCTATGGGCCCATTCGCCTCACATATGGCATGATCAAAAATCGACGGAAGGAAGTGCAGACTTTATCCTTCAATAAACACAAAAATACAAGTGAAAAGTGATTAACTGAATAGCATCTCAGTACATTGACGTAGAAATTAAAGGCAGTTGGCACGATAAATTCCCCAAGACGAGTAGGATCAATACGCTGGCAGGACGGAATTCCGCGACCCTGAGCAGGCGCTGCATAATGCCTTTTCCAAGGAAGGTGCCCTTATAAGGGCCCTATCAAGCCACAACATTTACGTCCCAAACGCCCGCCACGCCCACCCGCCCACAAATGGACGACCGTTCCTGACGCTCGTATTCATTCATTTGCTAAGCAAATTATGAAGCGAAGGGATTGGTATGAAGCGGCCGTGATGCTGCATGGATATATGAGTACACATATGCAGCCGATAGGCCTTCGGTTAGCGGTTTGATCTGGCATACTGCCTACTAGGAAACTCGTCCAAAATCGATTTCTAACACATTGAGAACAGAGGTTCTTTTTTTTGCAGGATTTTGACCGTTTCACTCCGTTCTTTCGCCATTTCCCCACTATATAGCGCCCTACTAGCATTTTAGGCCGAGCACCAAATCATCGTGCCAACTGCTTTTAAAGGAAAAAATTCTCTATACTCACCATCCATGATAAGGGAGAAGCTCTTGTCGAACCAACGATTACTTGCATCATCACCAATAAGGAGGGACTGAGTGAGTCTGAATCTCATCATTTCATAGAAAGGTTCACATTCATTTCTCTCTCAAATTCTATAACTACCTAATAGGATCCTGCGATTTCAAGTCGTCCAGACAGAGAGTAAAGAGAGCACCATCAACCTTTTCAAAATTCTGGGCATTACCAGCCTCCATCATCATTTCATCACGAACTTTCGCCCATGTGTCGCGATCCAAACTGGTCAAGAACCTGAGCGGGAAAATCTCGGTAGGCACGTTTAAATGACCTTGCAGAATCCTTGGCTCCCAATAAGGGAGGCGAATTGAACAGCTAATATTTGGCTTGCAATGAGCTAGATCGCAAAAACTAGGTACGAAGAGCATGACGCACAGGAAAAGTGAGACACACACACACACACAATAATACAAACATTACATTGAAAGCAGGGGAGGAAGCAGTGAGAAGGCGATAGCGCAAGAGAAAGCGGCAGCAGAGTCGTCGAACATATGCTGGAAGAAGGATTGTCAGAAGAACTACTCTTTTTACTGGATCCACCATGACTTACTGAATCTGCATAAGATAAGCCGAAATGGGGATAGTAAAAGGCGCACTGAATATGAAAGAGATATCTCAAACAAGGTCTCTCCGGGTCTCTCCGGCGTGGAACGTTAACCCACGCTGCAGTGTCTCTTAGAAACTAACGTTAATTCCCAGTTAGTTGACCTTGCATACTGCAGCAATTCCACGCTAAATGGTTCCGATTCTGGTGCGAATGATATGCACGCATAACTTTAGACTATATCTGGAAACTATTGACAAAAAGAAAACGAAACAAAAAGCTAAACTAGAAAGGAAAAAAAACGAAAAGAAGAGTAAGAAGAGAAATGAACTAACCTATGCATTTGTCAGCATCTTGCTGCTTTGCTGTTTTGAGAATATGGGCCAATGAATTATGTACGGAATCAGCAGGAAGTATATTACCTGAATTGAAGGAAAATAATTAGCGGAATTGAAGGAAAATAAATAGCGGGAAAACGCAAAATACACAGTTTTGTGACTGTCTCGGACAGGAATCGACAGAGTCTCAAATAATCTTTTACATGAATCCTTTCAGGCATCCAGGCATCCACCACTCACCGCTATCACTGATGCCTCTAACGGTACGTTCCTCTATACTCTCGAACGAAGGGGACGGTCTGAGAAAATACATACGGAAACCCTCCCCCCGGGATGAAATATAAGGCTTCATAGGCCAAGTTTTTTTCTCGCTCCTCCGAATACTGCAGTACTACTATCTTCCCGTCCTTCCTGCCCCCCAAACGTCTTCCTAAAGGGCCTGAGCAGGAGCCGATCCAGCTTTGATCCCAGACTCTTCTATCGTTTCGGGAACGTTTCACATTCGTCTGGGACGATAAAACTTTCAGTTGTGCATAGGCCGGCCCCTCTCGGCGACAACTTCATCCTTTATGGTCATTCTGTCGTATTTTTACAAGCAACAAGCAGTAAACAATAAACGGCGCAGTTCGGCAACGAGGTGGGGTGAGGGGGGAGAGGGGAGATTTGCACATATGCTGCTCACTAGTTCCGAGTTACAAGTCTACCAGTCTTAGTAGGGTAGAACCTAGTATCCCTAGAGGAGATGGAGAAGCTCGTCGAGCCACCATGGTAAACAGTATTTGCGTAGTATTCCATTGCTTTGTAAGGGCTGACAGCAGGCCAAGAGTGGCAAGAGTACAACATACCCGCCCTCCCCCCCGCTTCCCATTGCCGAACCCAATAAACTGCCTTCTAGAGGGGCCTTCAGTGCGTCTCTCACAACGCTAACCTTTTGTCATGCGAAGATGTCGAGCTCCGCATAAATTCCTTTCCACGTTGGCATCATGACCTATAGAAGTGTTTTTCTGTCGTGGTTGTATCTATTAATTATTGTCATTGGATGTTAGTAAACGCTAATACTTTGCAAAGAAGTTCCAACCTGGTACAAAATGTCTTTATCTTTTCTTGGTATACGTGTTCCATTGAACAATGATTTGTACTGGCTTCATTTATTCAAAGGTATATAGGCTTTGAATGCTACGTTGCTCTCGACCAAGAAAGACTTCGCCGGAAGTGATGCTGAAAGAAGTCTTTCAAGTTAAAGAAGATCACTTGAATACTGAGGCTGATAAGTGGGCGCCCCAATTTATTAAGAACCTGAAGTAGAGTGAACCTTACTTGCCAAATCATGTCCGGAATAACTTTGTATCGCTCTTCTTGGGGTTAAGATGAAATACTTCGGGAGCCAAAATATTTGCATCCAAAGCACGCCTAAATCTGGCGAAGGAAATAGCGAAGTTTGTCGCGCACGCGTACATACTGAAAATTGGAGCATTTTATACAAAAGTGAGCCTTATAATTTTAGATACTAGCTGATAGATCAAATTTCTTTAGGTGTGCCTGCCATTTTGTCTTTTCGTGAAGTGTACTTTTTGTGTGGATACATCACAACTCATATTGAGCGCGCGATGAGAAAGCTAAAAACACGTGCGATTATGAAAATGTCGCGCAATTTCGGGACCCAGAGAATCTGAATAGAGATGCCATTGCGAAAGAATGTCCGTACTTGCCAGGCAGACGTGAGTCCATTTGATTCCCGAGCTAATTCTTTGTCGGCCGACTGAACAGCAAAATCTTCGCAACTTCAGAAAGCTTACTCACTAAGTAAGAACGCTAGGAGATTACGTACGTTTTGAGAGGATACTTATATCTTGCCTATGAGGCGCATTTTAACGCTATGTCGATTTTGGCTCGCTTCTGCCTGTTCTCCTCGTCGCGAGAGTATAAACGCATACCTAACGCAGCTCACGTTATGCCGTTCAGAGTGTGATGCCAGTCCATTTCACATAAGCTTGACCCTATTACCTCTGCCTTGTTTGTTTTTTTTTTTTTTGCTGTAGCGCAAATCCCTTTTAAATGTAATGAATGCACTATATCAATGTTCCTGAACTGATGTACTGCATTCAAAAATCGACGGGTAGCGGAAACGATATGAAGATATACCCGGGCTTCTGTGCCCATCTCCTTCGATTCCGGCGGTGCGGCTCCCTGCTTCAACTTACGCCTCGAAGATTTGGAACTCTAATCGGAACTAGGATGAACTCTGCGGTTTCGGCGGTCATTCAAGGCGGCCAAATGGAAAGGGTGATGCTTAGAGTTATCCTGCTACATTCGTCGAGGTGAAGAGGGGATACTGAAGTCATTTCCGCTAGGCGATCATAATGTATCTAGAGACTGTCAGCGCATATCGCTGTTTGCTAATAGGTTTGAAAGATCATTTATTGTGGGCCTGGGTACGTGCATTCGATCTTGTTGGGGGAAAAAAGATATGCCCCGACCCTCGCGGTACCATGAACGATTACCGACCTGTCTCAGGGGATGTCAAGCGAACACCTGGATTACCGCCTACGCGATGGTCAGACTTTTTCGTGAAAGTGTTGGACGAACGGCATGAAGTATATCTTGTCCCCCGCGCAGAGAGAACCCATCGGGCAATTCCAGCGCGTTTGCAGGGACGACACAAGGCGTTACTGGCGCCCGCTCGAGCAACTAGATGACTAACAGGAGCACGAAACAGGCGAATAAATCAGTACAGTCTATAGAATAACAAACCTGATGATTGAATCGTGCATTTGGATCCGGTGCGTACATCATGAAGGGATTAAAGTTGACCGGGCATGGTATACGGGATCGTAGGTACATATCGAACCATGGTTCACATATGTAGCTAGTGTCTTTGTGATTTCGATCATAGTCCAACAGAGCCTTTTGGAGTTCTGGAAAATGTTCTCAGATTGACCACATGTGAGCGACTCCGCAGTACATCACTCCAACTTGGGAAAATTATCAAACTGTTATCCACAATTTTTGAGCGGGGGCGTGTACACTATGAAATAAATAGAAAATTCGGTGCTAATGCAGATTGAGGCCTTGACTTTGCACTTTGAGAGTGGTGCGACTACGTCGACTCTTGCCGTTTACGCTCTCCCTTCCACCGAAGCAGTAACTGTTCCTTTTTCCAGGTTCGAACCTAGCCTTGGTAGATTAGCGTAACGGGAGGTTACAGCCATCGCTCAGTTTCCGTCTAAGGGTAGTACAAAAAGCAAACTAAGGCACTGTTCACAGTCTGCGACCCAGCGTTTCTTAGAAAGAAACGCTTCGGCGAAAAGCTTTCGATACGTATCGATTGGCGGTTGGGCGAAGAGTCTGGCGGTTGCGCGAAACGGTTTTGATACGTATCGACGGGCGGTTCGGCGGAGCGGTTGGGCGAAAAACGCTAGCCCGACCACCCTGGCGTTTTTCTCTAGGGCGGAGCCAGCGAAATCGATACGCATCTATTGCTTTTGGACCGTCGAACCGCGGCGGCAATTCTCCAGAGCGGCTGACGATTCTCGGATCAATACGTATTTATTGGTTTCCGCCGAACCGCTGTTGCGACAAAACGTAAAAGTTTTCAAACAGCAAAACACGATCCCCGGCGAGGAATCTTTACCATTAGCGTGCGTTCACACTTTGCGGCAGCGTTTTGAGCGTCTGTCAGTGTTTTAAGCGATACACTATACCTACTTTCATAGTCGCTCAAAACACTGACGCAGAGTATGAACGCACTCTTAGCGATGATGTGCCTTGTTGACTCAGCAAACAGGATCAATCGGTAGTTAACTTCAAAAAAGTTCATGGGCAATAATCTATTGGGAAAAATCGGACCTGGTCCTTCACTCTTCTCAAACGCACGAACCACTTCTTCCGTTCGCTTGTAAACAGCATCATTAAGAACGACCTTCGCAGATGCTAGAAACCTAAACATCTACTTGTAGAATATATTTCAAAAGGAAAAAACGAGTTTCAAATTCAGTACCTATTGCATGAATCCGTTAACTTTGGAACGGGCAGTCGACGAAGACTTTTTTGGAAATGATACGAAGGTATTACACTTCGTTGTAAAAACTGGTAATCATCTCCGGCAAGTTGGTGTTTACTGAAATACGCACCGTAATAAAGAGAAATAAAAATGGTGGATCAGGAGGAAAATTGTGAATATGTAAACGCAGAGCGTCAACCCCAAATCGTTTTGCTAATGAGCAAATAGTACGAACCCTCGACATTTGGAAAGTCTTCCGCAAGCTGTCGAAAGCCGCTGTTCGACCCGAAACATCCCGACACAAACTTTATGTGCTGTAATCAAGACGAGTCAATAAATCGACCCAAATGACCAAAATTCAAGAAAGGCAAACTACGCGTAAACGCGTTGACGATCAGCACGCAACACTGATCGCCCAAGTGAACGTACTTTGGACCCTGCAGGGTGTTCTTTGCGCTGTAGTTCGGACGGTTTCAGTGTCGCATAATGAAAAACTGACGTCTCCACCAGTTAAAGATAAGGCAGGCCGTGTATTCTATCCATTAGTTCCTCAACGATGCACTTTAGAGTTATGACACAAAGGCTTAAAAAATTGTTCAGCGATGGATCCACATAGGAATAGCGAGACCTTACTGAGAATAATGCGTGAATACTGAGGAAAAATGTTGCGTGACTACTGCGAAAGGATTAATCTGATTAATTTCTAGCATTAATCTCAGTTCTACCTGGGTACATACAATATGGAAAGGATCCACACGGTGTTGTTAACAAACACAATCGCTGACTTCATTCACCAGTTTCAAACGTCTGTGTCTCTCGAAATCCACGCCTCACAGTGGAATCGTTGAGAAGTAGAGAAAAGGACAACAATTTGATCTATGTCGGCGGAAATTCTGTAAAATTACGTATGGTCAAATGTTTTGTGTAAAGCTCGTTGTTTCAAACGTTGGTGGTGTGTTGCAGACAAACCGGCCGTTTGTCGCCTGTTTCCATGGTTGTTCTCTCTTGGCAAATCATTCCTGTATATCATCGTGGGAATGTCACTTTGAGAGCAAACTTTTCCCTAACAGATTGTGGATGAAGGTCTGATTGTATTCAGCTAGATGGGGCTTCATTAACCTTACTGTGTCACGACTTAAATGAAACCCGCGAAATTAAGGCTTCAGAGGTGTTTGTGTGATTCATTTATGTTCTGTAATCTTAATTGCACATGGTTTTTGATGATACAGCTGCAAACATTGGGATCGCATTGCGTTCGCTGTAGTTTTGGTGCTTTTTTGCGGGAAATAAAGAATAAGACAGCCTAACCAGAAAAGCATTATGTTTGTTCTTTCAGGCTCTAGTTCTGATTATTGGGGCCCTTTGTTAATTTCTATCGATGTACCCTACTGTTTTATAAAGTTCTGTAAGCGGTGCCTACAGCATTTGGAAGCTTTTCAAGAGTTTAGAAAATTGTTTCAGGGTTTATTAGCCTTTTCTTCTCGTGTACGCTTTACTCCTAGTGCTTATATCCGTCGTAGAATTCCTTCCCAAAATTACGCGTATGCCAGTCAAATTTCTAATCTAATTTCGCTCTGTATTGCCTTCTAGGTATGAACCGGCTCAGTGTCATTAGATCCGTTTCCCGTAACTTTGCGTCGGCTGCTCCCCGAGGGAGCACTGGAATCGAGCATGCAGATGCATTAGCGAAAGTGGGCGGTAGGGTTTCAAGCCATTCGGGTCTTTTGTTCATCATTCCCATATTTCGACTCAATTGTTTTAGGACGGAAGCCTAACTGGAATCTGTACAAAGTGCCTGAGTACCGCAACACGAACAAGTATTCTTTTTATGAGTCTGAGGTACTATTTGGTCATTTTCGTGGACATTCCAAGTGATTTGCGCATACTAGTACTGCGACACCGCCATCATCTGTCAGAGTAGGCTCATAGTTTGCGTCAGCGTCTTGAGCGTCGCAGGCGGACGAAAAAAAACGCTGGATCGATCTATTTTTTTCTAGTCGCTAAAAACGCTGACGAACGCTCAGAACGCTCAAAGCGCTGACCTCATGAACGTATGGCGTTTGGAGCATTTAGAGCGAAAAAAGAAAGCATATGTAGCAGTGGCGTGTTGGGAGAAACCACATCGTTTCGAGCGTTTTAGGAGAATAGATTTTCAGAGCGTTTCATGCGAAACGGGAAGTATAATATAGGTGGCGATGGTCTAGCGTTTAAGTGAAAGTATGTGCAGGTACCAGTCGGTACTCGAAACTCGGCGTCACTACCGTCTCTCCCACATTCCATCAACATCGATACCTTTAGTTTTGTCGCTCGAAACGCCGATTTGCTCAATAAACGCTGATTCTCGCAAAACGCTAAGTTGCAAGGTATGAACGTGGCTGAAGAATTTAAGTGTGCGTTCATCCAGGCGTCAGCGTTTTGAGTGTCCACCAGCGTTTCGAGCGTGCGCCAGCGTCTTCAGCATCTGAACGAGTAATGAGGTATAGATATCGATTACCGCTGAGAAGTCTGACGCACGCTCGCTGGTAGACACTCAAAACCCTAGGATCGATAATCATATCATCCTTGTCCCTCAGTACGCTGAGAACGCTGCCCCAAACTATGAAAGCACTCTAATTTTGCTAGTTATCGCGTCGGCGCAGTTCGGCGATGTGGCATTTTGTAGCGTTGTCACTTCTCATCGACGTGACGAGCCATCGAGAGAGCCTTGTGAGAGTTGACAGGTTTTATCATGGTGGCTGGACGAGCTTGCTCCAGCTACACAAGAGTTCACAGGTTTCACCAGAGAGACTTGTAAACCGGAACTAGTGAAGCTGCGAAAGTGCAAATTCCCCACCCCTCCCCCCCCCCCTCCCGTCGCGAACATGTCATGGGACGACGTTATTAGCATTGTTCACAGACTGCGGTCCAGCGTTTGGAACGCGGCGGTTCGGCGAAAAGCTTTCGATACGTATCGACTGGCGGTTGGGCGAAAGGGTTTTGATACGAATCGACGGGCGTTTCGCCAAACCGCGACGTTTTCGCTCTGAAGAAACGCTAGCCTCGAATCGTGGCGTTTCTCGCCAGCGAAGTACACATTTATTGCTTTTCGCCCAACCGCCAAACCGCGGCGGTTCGGCGAAACAAGCGGTTGGCGATTCTCCCAACCGCCGTTTCGTCAGGGTCGCAGACTGTGAACATTGCCTTACATTGACACCGTAATAGATAGATGATCTGATTGTTCCTATTACTCGTGTGCGTATTGGTGTATAGATTAGAACGAACATTTGTTAATTTATATATATTATTAAATATTAAGTAATTATAATGACACCATAATGACGGCCCTCATATCGTTCGCCGACGACGACGATATAACTACGAAACTGGTGAATTTGGCTATGCCGTTAGACATCGCGTTTTTGGCACGTGACTCATTTATAAATGCAAATCAGCAAAATCCGCTGAAAATTTTATACATGATAATTAAGCCCTTTATAGCGAAAGACGCTCTGATCTTCGCGCCGCAGCCAAATGAGACAACATATACATTCCTGGCGCAGCCTAAAATGGTTATACGTGCGACCAGTCGTAGGTAGCGCTTTAGCGTCAACGCCAGCGGCATGCGGAAAGGTGGATATCGATGCTACGGTTCTCAGAGGCAGTCAGACTTGCGATCGGCGATCTGATCGCGTGAATTTGATGCGCGACGCGTACTGTGGTCGAAATACACCGGAGGAATAAGTTAGCTTCATGTTATTGGTACCGTCTTTTTCCTCTGCTCTTTCTCCTTGTGGCATACACTGCCCTCCAATTTTATAAGAAACGTTTCAAATAATCTTTGAGTTAGTATAATTTTAGGTAAAAGAATAGTACTAAATATCAAATATGCTAATTATTATACGAATTTGCATGTTTGAGTACGGAGGCGGAGTGTTGAAACAATCTTGTTTTCCAAAAGTAATTACAACGAGAATTTTTCTTTCAACAGCGGTGATGTTGTTATCTCTCCCGTCCCCCAGATTTTGCCAGTCTCCAGAATCATTTACTTTGTCACCATTGTGTTTGCATTGGTTGTTCGCCCATCATCAGCTCTATAACAAGCAACTTTCTTTTCGACGGTCTTTGGCAAAACGTCAGTATGCCGAATATGAACATCGGTAAATGAGAAAACATCAACAAAGGTCGCACTACTTTATATCTTTGGGGGAACTCCGCCTATAGAGGCAGATACAGCAGTCGGGAGTGAGAACCACAATGGTGATATCATACACTTCCAGAACTTTGTTGTTGTTGTGTTGAGTTGAATTGAAACACTGAAAGAACATACTCTTGCCGTGTAATTTCACCCTACAGGTAGCCGCGAATCCCGCGCAGATCTGGATCCGTTCGCGGTTCAGACTCGCAGATCGCGCGATCTCCGAAGTCTGAACGCGCTCTACAAGCGTCACCAAGCGACGCAGCAGTAGCGAGGGAGGCATAGCTATCGATCTAGCGCTCCCAGCGTTTCACGAGCGTTTCACTAGCGTTTCGCTAGCGTTTGCAGCGGCGGGGCTAGAGAGTATAGAAGAGTAGGAGAGTACAAAATACTCTCCTACTCTTCTATACTCTCTAGCCCCGCCGCTGGCAAACGCTAGCGAAACGCTAGTGAAACGCTGGAAGCGCTACGCTGCTGCAAAGTATAAACGTAGCCTTAGCGGAGCGCAGATAATCGTGTCATCCGTCATCGTCAAGAATGAATGTCATATTCGTAATCAGGATGTTAAATTACCTCGATATACAAGTTTTTAGCGGATTTGGTGGTTTAGGCGCTTTAAAAATGAGCTCGTTGCCAAAATTGCGTGCGTGCAAACGGCATATAGCCGTGGAATTTCCATTTTTTTCCTTTCATTTTGCATATGCTTTTTCCACACACCATGGGAAACGATTGCGCATATTCTCTCCGAGGCATGTGTACATGCGTCATTAAAGCGACATTGACTCACAATCCGCAATGTTCTTCGCAATTACTCACATTCATCCCCGCAAAGAGTAGAATTCAAGGTTGTGTACTCACTCATCATTTCTACTTTCAGATTACGCTGTCGAAGCACCGCCTACAACAGCCATCGAAGGCAAAACCAGATGTTATGCCAAAAGTGAAGACTCAGCAGAAGTGATGAACAATTGTAGACTTAGCTCATAATGAATAAATAGCTTGCGAAATTTGTGTTGTTTTCTCACCAGCGGTAGTTGTGCCGTCCGAAATTCCTGTTTTGTTTTCGCGCGAAGTCGATGATGTTATAGTCAAATTATGCGTTTTGTTGAAGGCTACCGGTGCATCATCCTTCATTGGCGTTGATGAATATTCTTTTTATAGCCACTTAGTTATGTAAATTACTACTTTAGATGAGTTCTGCCATAGTGGAACAACTCCGTTCACTGTTGACGCTTTCTGAAGAAGAAGCTCACCGACAGTTAAAGTCTCTGAATGGCGATCTTGGCGCTCACACAGAATTTCAATTTGTTGATGCGAGAATGCGTCAGGTGATTTTGTTGGTTGCTATTTCTTTTCAATTGAGGCATAGTTCGCGACTTTATCGCTCTGATCACGAACAGTTGCCACCGATAGCTAGTTTCGCGCCATCAGACTCTCCAGGAACACACTCATTCATCTACTTACTCAGATTGCGAAGTATGAACACATTCATCTACTTTCTATGTTCCAGCGTATATAGCGTATATGAGTTCCCGGGACTCTCCGTCTATTCATCCAGCCATGACATAGGCTCAGGGCTGCGGTGGTAATAAGGCTTAGGGCCGGGGCAATCAGATTCGCCACGGGTTATGCTGTATCTACAGTTTTCGTCAGCGTTTTGTTCATTCATTTTGGGCGGAAAGGAAAGTGTGGGTATCTATCTGGAGGTCGGAAAAGCGGCCAACATTTTGAGCTTTCTGAGCGTTTCAGACAGTATTTGTACACTTGACTGAAATATCACAGCCATTTGGAGCTGGCTAGCTCACGCTCCACAGACGCCTGCGTTCGTAGGTCACGTAGTGGACGTCCTCGCGCCAAGCGGGTGTAATAATTTTATTAATGAGTCAAAATACCTCTTGAGGCGGTTACAGGGCTGTTGTCAACCGGGCATGCTGTCGCTGCGAGGGTCCAGAGGTATTTTCTCGGAACCCAACGGCCTAGCAGTTGAAGGGAGAAGGCAAAGGAGGAGGGAAGAAAGAAGGAAGGAAGGAAAAGAAGGTGGGAGGGAGAAAAAAGGAAAGAGGAGGGAGATCTCGCGGTTGATAAGTATCCTGAGACGCTCGGAGCCAAGCGGCTGCGATATCCCTGTTCAGGGGTCACATTACGCACTGAAAAAATATTCCGGTGGAATCTGCTCATGGAGAGATTTTTCGATTAAAACATGGCTGGCTTGAATTCCAGAGTGGGACAGTAGGGAGCAAATGGTGCCGAGTGAATAGCTGGCCCATTATCTTTTGCAAATAATTGTAGTTATTTTTTGTAAACAATAATGCTACTTTTTATATTAACATTTATCATTAAAATGTCCTCTTATATATTTGATGTGATCGTTCTAATTGTTAAGGACGTCGCTAAAATGATTGAGAGCTCAAGCGACAAGCCTTGCTTACGTGCACCATTGCTGGAGCTGATAAGAATACTAGGTGAGTATGTCGTGGTCTCTTGAACGCCTATAAGCTTTCTAACTCACTCTTTGTTTAGCTCGTGATAAGAGGCAATTGGACGTGTTGCTCACTGAGCCAGTCCGTAGATTTATAATACGTGCGAGTGGACATACAGAGGCAAAATCAGAGGTTCTTCAAGGTTGGTTGTTTTTCAAAACGAAGGATAATCAGCCAATGAGATGGAAGTTATCGTTTTCTATGATGTAAGGAGTAGAAGAGGAATTAAAGGCACACATCATCAAAAGCACTCAGTTGAACACCTTCTTGCCGAACGGTTCTCTTTTCAGATGTTATTGAAGCGGACAAATGTTTGGTGAATACTCTTTTCAACTCAAGCGTTATGCGTCAGTCCTTTGAGTGAGTGCAGATTCTTGGAAAATATATTTTTCTTTGTGGACTAGGGATGGTATTAATCAGTGAATGCTCTTCCAAGTTGTATCATCTTGCTCCCTGCGAACTCTGGGGCGTGTCAGGGGATGGGTTTAGCGCTGCGGCAACCGGTCCTCCATCATTTGCTGAAGAGAGCAAGCGACAACAGTTGGGGGAGAACAGGTAGACCCCGCGCCAAATCTAGCCCCGTGACACGCCGCAGCAGTCGC